TTTATTACTACATTTTCTTAAATTTAGCCCGGACGAAGTCACTGGCAACTGCATAAAGATAATAATTTTTAGAAATAAGTAAAAAAAAAATATTTCTTACAGATACAATATATCAGACTCATAACAAATTCTAACCCAGCGCCTGTCAAGACCAAGCTGCAGACACAAACAATCAACGTGCCAGCCAAAACATTCCTCTTGACTGATTCAAAGGGTAAGATACAATGTAACAACATAATGCCACAATAGAAGGGACGACAGAGACTTACAGGCCTCATTTTGTCTCCTCTCGACACAACTGGATTGTTTCACACACATTTATAGAGCCAATTATGTAAGTCTCATCTTATTATAGGTAATTTAATCCAGATGTCATCAGACAAAATGATGAACAATTGTCAGTCGTCCCCCCTGCTCGTCGCCAGCGCAGCCTCCTCTGCCGCTAAAGGTTGGTGCTGCTATCTTATTAAATACATTTAAGTCTTTTAATTTTCATTTTGAGTATAGCGTCTAGGAAAAGTTTACAGTTTATAGCTTCATAATTAAAAAAAAGTTGTTTTTTTTTTGTCAAAAAGCTTACCATGAAGGTTTTATCGTAATTCAAACTGGCCACCAAAGAGTATGTAACTAATGCTGGTCACTATGTAAAAATGACAATATCGTGCATAAAAAAAATGACGATTGTAAATTTAATTCATCGCCATCTGTGTTCATTTCTTGATATTATTTCAAAATTATTATCAATTCGTCTGACATTCCGAAAGAATTTCGTACTTTTGGAAATTAGAAAACTTTTAAACATTGACACTAAGAAAATTAAACAATTCTTTTCTCTATTTAAAAATTATAATTTAAATTTGAATATTGAAAAGTCATTTGGAAACAGTGTCATTGTGAGAATTGTATTTGTGAATTTATATAATTTTCAGTGAACACAAAACCCCAGCGCAAGTTGGTGAGGATAGCTCCTTTAATTGAGAAAAGAGCTACTTTGGCCGATAAACCCTTGCAAACGAGCGCGGTGAGTCAACTAATAGTTTTGAATTTTTTAATGTATTACAAAAAACAAGCTACAATTTTTAAGGTGTCAGTATAACTTTTAAAATAAAGTTAAGCTTTTCTAAAAAGTTTAGTTGGTGTTAATTTTAATTTATTACGAATTAGAATTAACAGTTTCTTTTAAGCCATTTTATTTATAGGTTCTAATTACATTTAAATTATTGATCTCTTTCTAAATGAAACTCAAAGCTGGTTTAATTTTTATTTAACTCAATGTATGAAGCTATTAATCATATTTATTAAAATTATATTTCATCAGATTAGCAGATCGTCACAAAGTCTTCTAGCACCAATAACTTCGATACCAGAGATTGCACAAAATACCGAGGATACAGAAGTGCAAGAGGATATGGACTCCAAAGCCGCCCTACATGCTATGGTGATGAGGAACGAGGAGTTTGAACAGGAGATGCAAGTGAACATCAAGTCTGAAATGCAAGTCAATCAGTCAAATATAGAAAGCAATATGGAAGATATAGAAACTAATGTACACCATGACTTGCATTCTGAAATGAACATGGATGCAGATGATTCTAATATTGCAGAAGTTGAAGTTGATTATAAAAGGGATTTCGTGAATGTATGTAACTTCTTACATAAAATACTTTAATATTAATATGTTAATAAAGTTATAATAATAACGTATTAAACGTTAATTAGCAGCCTATGTGTGCTTCCAGGCTATGTTCTACACATAAGCAGAATTTCACCGAGATCCATGTAGTTGCTCTCGGAGATACTTTCTAACAAACATCCAAACTTTATATAAAAAAATAGCTTTTGCCACCGACGTACTCCGCGCTTATTTTAAAGAAAAACTTAATAAGTAGCCTGTGTGTTCTTCCACAGTATGTTCTATATCTATGCCTATTTTCATTCAGGGTTTAGCCATTCTGTAGATACTTTTAACTTCCATCCATCTAAACATTCACATTTATAGTATTAGTAAGATTAAGTGCTGTACTTATTTATTTTAAATGTATTTTACAGTATTCAGATTGTGATGAAGTGAACGATAAAAGTGATCGTCTCGAGTTAAGCGGGCAGGAGGAGCACCCCCTCATTGTCATACCCTCAAACTTCATCAAGGAATCTGACAACAGAAGCATGAGTGATGTTCAATCTGGACATGTAAGTTGCATACTTGTTAACTTATGAAATTTTAAGCTTAGCTATGATTTGGGAATCGATTGCAAGCATTGGCTTCTACACTTAAACAGGCTTCAAGCCATAGAATTTAGTATCTAAAGAAGTAAATCTTCGCCATTTTGTCGCTGACGGCTGCATATGGTAGCTATGTTAGTAATATTATTATAACAGGTGCTTTTAAGTTCCAAGCCATATATATAGAGGTCAATGAACTCATTACATTAAAGTAAAAATGTATAAAAGCATTGTTATCTCAATTTTTTTAAAGTAAATGAGAGGGATGATATGGTAAAAGTTTGAGCAGAGTTAACCCACGGTGAATGTGTATGTTACAGGAGGACTCTCAACAGATGAGCAGCATGATGAATATGGACGCGGAGTCAATGAATGCGTACCAGTCGCCTACGACGCCGCAAACTGCCTCGGAAAATGGTTAATATTACATTAATATTTATTCTATTACAGGATGTTGTTAATTTTTTAACTAAATTTTTAAGTCTCATCTAGCGACTTACATCGTCTTTGCCAATATGATATATAATAATTTAAAGTAATTCATTTACTAAACTATCATTAATTACAAGTCCAGATGCCAAGTCATAATTTTATAACATCTATTATGACTTTCACGAAACTTTATCGCAGTCGAAGTTTTTTTTTAAATTAAATTAACTATTTGTCGCACAAAATATTGATAGTGTATGTTATGTTTCAGAGTTTATGTCGACGGAGCTCGGGCTGCGTCTGCGCAAGGCGTGCAACTGCACCAAGTCGCAGTGCCTCAAGCTGTACTGCGAGTGCTTTGCCAACGGAGAGTTCTGCAACCGCTGCAACTGCAACAACTGTCACAACAACCTCGAGAATGAGGAGCGGCGACAGAAGGCTATTAGAGGATGTCTTGATAGGAATCCAAATGCTTTTAGGTGAGATATTTGTGGGGCTATTAGGTTATATTGTTGAGTAGGCGAGTTAGGAGGAAAATTAGTTGTCTTGTCCCAGCTGTTCGCATAGTCGAATTCTTAATAAAAAATTACATGTATTTTTTTTCAGACCAAAAATTGGCAAAGCAAAAGTTGGTGGTCCGGAAATGATTCGGCGGCACAATAAGGGCTGTAATTGCAAACGAAGCGGTTGTCTCAAAAACTATTGTGAATGTTATGAGGTAAGTTTTTAATATCTATCACGTGTAGTTTTACTAGTTTTAATAATTTGGCTTCATAGTTATTTATTCTTTGTTTTATATTTTAAGGCGAAAATAGCGTGCACGTCGATATGCAAGTGCGTGGGTTGCCGCAACGTTGAGGAGACGCTGGAACGAACGCGGCGGCGCACACCCGCCATGCCCAGCGCTGTGCAGGCGCTCTTCCGCCCGCCGCCGCTACTGCCGCTCAAGTCAGTTGAAACCCTTATCACTTTCTTACATAAACATAAAACCTTTATGTTGCGTTCAACTCATTTTCGGTAAAATGACGTTGGATGGTGATAATGAAATTTTCTCTTTTATCGTGATGGTTTGTTATATGACATCCAATCCTAAATGGGAAGCTAAGTTGACTACAATATCAAAATGTAAGGAGCGACAACCTTAATAATTTTCATCAGTAGTAATTTATTGTGTTTACATTTAGGCAGCCGTGCAGTTTCATAACGACGGAGGTGGTGGAGGCGGTGTGCCAGTGCCTGCTGGCGGCGGGCGGGGAGGGTGGCGCAGGGGGCGGGGGCAGTGGCGCGGGGAGTGGTGCGGGGGGCGCGGACGCGGTGCGTGACGTCATCGATGAATTTGCGCGCTGCCTGCAAGATATCATCAGCGCCGCGCACCACACCTCGCCTCTCATCATGCTTGACGAGGTAACATCTCTAATACCAAGATATTCCTCTTATATTTTTTTTCATCGAATTTACCGTAGTTTGCTTATTTTTAATATTTTCAAAGATAACAATTGTGTTATGTAAGTTTTTATGTAATTTTATATAGATTTAATTTGTTTCAGGATCCTGCATGATAATCGACGATTTCTAAAAGGATTTAAATGAAATATTTAGATAATGTACAGCAAATGTGATAGTTAATATATGAAATCAGTTTAAAGGAATATATATATATTCATATATAAATAAGGGGTACAATCGTGCAATTATGTTGTAGAAATAAAAAATCTTTCAACATTATAATATCAGCATAATGACAATATTTTATTGATAAATCAATAATATATAGAATGTAGTTTAATAAGAAAAGACTGTTGAAGAATAGTTGACATGAAAATCTTATATCAGAAACAATCTTTTAATGGAATTGAGTTTTTGAGGTGTACATATGTTAGTAAATGTATCAGATTTTATATTTGTTTGGTTTGTTTCAATTTATGTGAAGAGATATATAGTTGTACAGATATATTGAATATTTTGCTAGTCATAAGCACGCGCGGCGGAGTGTACATAGTTATGTAATAAATATAGGCGTTTATATAAATTAATTTTGTTTTATTGTATTATATAATACTATCGTAAAAGATATGCTACAAAGAAGAATAACGAAAGGTCGTGGAAATCTATTTTTTTAAATTATTAGCGTTTTATTTTGGTTAATTATATTTTAATTTAATTTTTAATTAAAATTTAAACAAATGACGTTAAAATATTAAAAAATATTAAAAGTTGGCTACGATACATTTTTCTTGGCGGTAATATTTCAAAAGTGGGTTAAAGGTGAAAACAAACGTGCAAAACGCGGACTAAATTTAACTCCCGACATCCCGCGCTAAATATAATTTACACGTCTCTAGTTGATCCCTCACGTGTGCCGGATACATGTTGTTTTAAATAAATAAAAAAATATCAAGATGAGTGCTAAGTACGAGGTGAAAGTATCCAAACGACTTGGGAGGTTAGTTTTTTATTCAAGAAATATTACTCCAAAGATGTACAATTATGTTCTATTATTCCGTATGTTAAATTACAAATAAAAAGATTTTATTTGAATTGAATTTAATAAAATTGTAAATTTTATAGTAGATCTATAGAATAAATCTATAGACTTATACGTAACTAAACTTTTTCTCGTTCATTGTATTCTGGCAATAAGAATAAATCCTATTTGTAGGTATATCGTGGCTGCAAAGGATTTGAAAGCGGGCGAAAGTATTCTAAGCGATAACCCTTTTATATTAGGACCAAGTAATGATACATCGCTCGTTTGCTACAACTGTTACTTGCCCCTTATGAGTAAATTCGTCGTCTGCAAGTTATGCACGGTGGTCCCAATTTGCCCTGGAGATGGCTGTCCACAAAACTTACCCAGTAAGTAACTTTCATAAGATGCTTCAGGCGACTAAATGATCCGAGACTCTTTGAAAGTATTTACTTTTCTCCTAACTTACAAAGTTATTATTGTTCTATTTAAATAATAGTATACAATAATCATAATCTTTATTGGACTGCTTCTATTTCTAAACATATTATTCTTACAAATATTTAACGCTAATTATTCCACGTTTTATTCAGAGTGGCACACCGAATATGAATGCGACTTCTTCAGAACTCTCAAATTAAAGCGAACCGTAAACCCTATGACTATGGTACAGAATGTAGGCTTCCTTCTTGTACTTAGAGCGGTCTTAAAGAAGGATGTTGATAAAACATCTTGGCAGGAGTTTCTACAACTTGAAACTCATTTGAATGTAAGAAAAGGAACAAGCGTTTGGGATTACTGTGAAAATACTGACAAGGTATCATAATATTTTTTTTATGTACTAAAAGAAAATTTTAAAGCTAAAAAGGAACCAGTTAAAGAACTTATTAATGACGTACGATGATCATCTAGGTGCAACATAGATCTTTAATAAAAATAATTTTATTAATAAGTACATACAGCATTTAAAAATTTACGCACAATCTGTGATAATTATTGTTATTAAAATTTCAGACAAAAGCAGTTTTATGAAACACAAATAGCGGTATGATTTTATACATACAAAAAATTTTCAAACTATCTTTTTTCTATGACGTAATGCCGAAGCCGTTTCATCTTTAAAATCATTTCAATCTACTCTTTTCTCCTATGGTTTTCATTTTTTTTCTACATTAAACTTTTTTACAATATTATAACAATATCAAAATATTATCTACATCTCACTACTTCGCATTCACACTAATTGTTTGAATCTTTATTCATCCAAAGTTTGCCTCTTCTGAATCTTTACCACAAACCGCTATTCAACCATTTTTATAACATTGCAGTTTATTCAATCTCTGGGACTATTAGATAATAGTGAAGATGATAATTTAGTTCAAAAAGTGTGTGCTGCGATTGATGTGAACAGTTTCGAAGTTAGAGGTCCGCCGGTACCAGCGATTGGTTGTTCGGAAATACTTCACGGGGTTTATTTGAAGGCAGCGCTAATGGCGCATGACTGTGTTGCCAACACGCATATTGCAATAAATGATGGTAATGTATTAGTCTGCCATGCAAGTACTGATATTAAGAAAGGAGAGACGATTTACTATAATTATACAGATCCCTTGAAGGTATAGATTTTAATACGTTTTGATGGATTTACATTTTTCTACTCTCACCAACCAGTCGGTCTACAGGGCTATGTTTATTAATTAATATTTCTAGGGTACAGCTATACGACAACAACATTTATTAGTTGGAAAGTACTTTAAATGCACTTGTAAAAGATGTCAAGATGTGACCGAAATGGGCACATACATGAGTTCAGCACTTTGTCTCGCATGTAAGACTGGATATATAAGCGAGATTAGTAACGAAAAATGGACATGTCATAGCTGCGATAGCGAATATGAATCGTCCGAAATAAGACGTAAAGTTCAATGTTGTTCGGACAAACTGGCGGTTATAAGTAAGTTTAGCTAACTTAAGATTTTTTTATACATTATAATTTTTAGCTACCTAATCGCACATCGCCTATATAGTCAATTTTACGAAAAGAAACGTAAGAATGCAAACTATATTATTTATTTAACAGATAAAAAAGATGAAAAGGAATTAGAAGAATATATCAAAAATATTTCGCTTGTGCTAGCACCAAATCATTATCTGTTGTTGGACGCTAAACAACGACTAGCAGGTATATTAAGAGACGCCATCAACAGCCAGCCCAGACCAACCAAAAAGATGATGAGGCGGAAAATAGAATTATGCAAAGAGCTTTTGCCAGTGCTTGAAAAATTAACCCCAAAGATATGCAGGATTAAAGGTAATGAATTGTTTTTCATACTATTGAACTATTAGAAGTAATAACTTATTTTTTTTTCATTTAGCTATTACACTTTACGAATTACACGCAACAATGGCACAACTTGCTAAGAAGCTGTTCGATGGCCGAGAAATAAATGGATCCCAATATTTGGTGGGTGTCATAAGAACTATTAATATTCCTAATATAGTTCATTCATATATGTGTAATATGTGTACATTTTATTTACAGGAAGAGCTACAAAATGCTGAGAAATGTTTAAAGAAATCCCTGGAAATGCTTTTAATCGAACCTAGAAATTCACCTGAGGGAGAGTTATGTGCAAAAGCGCTTGAGGATTACAGAGAACTTAAGAATTCTATTTCGGGACTTATGTTACACTCTGAGGGCAACACCTTTGTTAACGGAAGAAATAAAGGCTCAGTTCCGACTAACGAAAACATTTAATGTTGGAAATATGTTTTTAAAATAAAAATGAAATACTTTATTAACTTTGTTTCATTTTCTCAAATGTTCTATGAAGTTGGCGTTGAAACCCCTAGCCTTTCAGCCTTCCATCACCAGTACTCAGTAGGCAGTACAAGATGTGTTTCAATTTACTCCTGAAGAAATAACTACAAATTCCTAGTGCTTTTTCCCTTAAAATAGAATTAAATCACGCAAGAATCTATGTAACGGTTTTGACAAAATGTGTGATAATAATTCGTTACATTTTTTCTTACATTTTGATCACAAATTGATTTTTGCTTTTTGAAGTTGGCAGCACTATTAATTGCGTCAATCAGTTCTGTCAACGTTAACTGTCAAAGATATAAATAATTTGTCTGTGGTCTGTCTGAGACAAATTACTTAAGAAATGAAATTAATGTATTTTTAATTAACTAATGCATTTTCTTTATAGCATACTTCGATTTTTACGAGAAATAGGAAATCTTGGAAGTCTCTTCTAAGATATAATTAATTGATCTGTTTGTAAATTATTTGTCATCATACCGCTAACACTTAGCATTACTTTTGGCTTGTGGAGGCAAGTTAAATATTTATTTCCTATTTAATAAAATTAGAGATAACATAAAGTTCTAGTAATATTTGTTGAGTTGATGGGTCCTAAATAACTGACAATATAAGAAAAGTGATTAAAGCGGTAAGTTTGGGTATGCGATAGACGTGATATGATTACTAAACGGTCATTATAAACCATATTTGAATTTGTAAGATATATTTAAAAAGGCGGATGAAACATCCAAGTAGATGTAGTAGCATACATTGCAGCCATTTTTTAAATAACTATCTAGAATTATAATAAGTAGTAAAACTTTTTTTCCAGTCCCACAATGGCAGATCAGACTTCAGTCCTCGCCCTGGTAATACTGGCAGTAGGGATTACAGTACATTTTTCCTTACACAAAGTTGAAGAGGGACATCTTGGAGTTTATTATAGGGTAAGTTAATGATGCACTTAAGTTGTACTTAGTCTTCAGTTTGTGCTAACTTAAGATTTTTTTTTAATATTAGGGCGGAGCATTGCTGCCAGTAACAAGTCAACCTGGATTCCACATGATGATACCTCTTTTAACTTCTTATAAAGCTATTCAGGTATAAATTATCTAACAAATATTAATTAATTTTTTTGATGTCATATACTTTATACATTTACTTCTTACAGACCACTTTGCAAACAGATGAAGTTAAAAATGTACCTTGTGGGACAAGTGGGGGTGTTATGATTTATTTTGAAAGAATTGAAGTGGTTAATAAATTAGAACCAAATAGTGGTAAGTAAAATTGCAATCATTAAATAGTATTCCTCTTATTGTGTACTGTAAAAAATTGACATCGTAAAAGCAAAATGTGATTATTTATTCAACATTCGAAAAAATTAGATCTATGGATATTACACCTGTATAATATTTTTTACCTTTTTGATTTAAAAGAATTTGTAATAATTGAAGTTTATTTGATTCCAGTATTGGATGTGATTCGTAATTTCACCGCAGATTATGATAAGACATTAATATTCAATAAAGTGCATCATGAATTAAACCAGTTTTGCAGTGCACACTCCCTGCATGAAGTCTATATTGATCTGTTTGATCAGATTGATGAAAATTTGAGAACAGTAAGTTTTATTTTAGTGAATACCATACTATTTTACAATACATAATAAATTTCTGATTCAATAAAAGTTTATTTGAATGTTAATATTTTAGGCACTTCAAAAAGATCTGAATGAAATGGCACCAGGTTTAAGAGTGCAGGCAGTGAGGGTGACAAAACCTAAGATACCAGAAGCAATTAGGAAGAATTACGAACTCATGGAGTCTGAAAAGTCTAAACTTCTTATAGCTGCTCAGCATCAAAAGGTAATTTATATTACCTATTGTAATTCAAGAATAAGAATTGAATGTATAATTCTGATTGTAATTTTGTATTTATATGCCACAGTTACTCTTGGGCTACCTATCTGATGGTTAATTAGTCTAAAACAAAGGTATTAAGATTATTTGAAGATACATTCTTTCTCAGGTAGTTGAAAAGGAAGCAGAAACAGCACGTCGGAAGGCAGTCATTGAAGCGGAAAAGGAGGCGCAAGTAGCGAAAATTCAATATGAACAGAAAATAATGGAGAAAGAATCTTTACAGAAAATAGAATTGATTGAAGACAACATTCACAGAGCAAAACAACAAACAAAAGCAGAGGCAGACTTCTATCATCAGAAAAAACAAGCAGAAGCAAATAAATTATTGTTGACAAAGGAATATTTAGAATTTAAGAAATATGAAGCACTTGCAAAGAATAACAAAATTTACTATGGCAGTGATATCCCTAATATGTTTTTGCAAGCAAATTTTGGTGATAATATACTTAAAAATGTTGAAGTTGAATAGGCAATATATACTTTGTAAAAACAATTACTAGTCATTGAGTGAAATGTGTGGGTTAGTGGGGCTTTTGTAAAGTTTTAATTAAAAAAATCAACATTCTCAATAAATAAGCTTGTTTTGTTTATTATTTAGGTAAATATATACATAGATCTTTATATATGTTACATTTGAAGAATAATATCAGGTATTTGTGTGTGACCTTGTTGTGGTTTTACTTATTTATGTTTTCGGGTAAAAAAATGTTCATAGTAATGGATTTAGTAAACATTTTTTTTACACAAAGGAATGTATATTGGGATTTTTCTATTTATGTAAAATAAAAACAACAAATACAGAAATGTGATTTTATTGAGTGGATATCTTATAATTAGAATGGCATTTAAATCTTATTGAATGCTGCAATGTCAACGGACTGAACAAAGTCTTCAAACTCTTGGATTTTCTCTGTCAACAGGTCTACAGATACCTTGTCGTCCTCAATAACACACATGATCTGCAGTTTGTTGATCCCGTAGCCCACTGGTACAAGTTTAGAAGCTCCCCACAGGAGACCATCCATTTCAATGGTACGGACTTGGTTTTCCATTTCCTTCATGTCAGTTTCATCATCCCAAGGCTTCACGTCAAGGATAATGGACGACTTAGCAATAAGAGCTGGTTTCTTGGACTTCTTGTCAGCATAAGCCTTCAAACGTTCCTCACGGATTCTTGCTGCTTCTGCATCCTAAAATAATGATTGTTTCAAGAATTATTCTGTAATATTCATGTGTTTATTAATAAATATAAAAAAAAAACAAATAGAGTGAAATGAAATAAATTTGAAACAAACCTCTTCCTCGTCTCCAGAACCGAAAAGATCGACGTCATCATCGTCTTCTTCCTTGCTGGCTGCGGCTGGCGCAGTAGTGGTTGTGGCACCGGCTTTAAGTGGGCTGACTCCCGCAGCAAAAGTCTGGCGCTCAGCTGCAGAGTACGATGCGATGTGATTGTACCAGCGCAGTACGTGCGGCAGACTAGCGGCCGGCGCTTTGCCTACTTCATTAAACACTTGCACATCAGCTTGAGTTGGAGTGTATCTAGAATAATGTTCAGAATGTCAATCATTATAATACCAATAAAATAGTCACTGCTAAAAATAGAGGTTATAATTTAGAGGTTGACGTGTAAGAATATAGTTATACAGTAAAAAGTCTATGTAAATATTTACCCAGATATGTAACTTTTATCGGCCAAGAATGTATTCAATTCATTTAAGCCTTGGTTAGTTTTAACGTCTCCGAATGCCATTTTTTAATTTATAAAAGAAGCACAAGTGCCACACGAACTGCCGGTCAGTAAAAGAGAGGGAGGGGGAGGGATAAAAAGAAAAGAAAAAGAATTAAAAACCACAGACAAATTAGGATCATTTTGTTAAATTGCGAAGACACAACAATTAGTTTTTTCGTATTGTTTCTTATTTGTTATTGTTAGAAATTACGATATATTTCATCGACAGTTCAAGAGAAATGTTTAATTTTAATAAAGAAAAACTTCAAATTTTTGAACTTGAAATAATAATGTCAAAGCATTTCAAAAAAGTCAATATGTGGATGACATTGACATTTTTCGCATCTGTCATTAAATTTTGTTAAAATCAGTAACGCATACATAGGTACTTTTTCTTACTTATTTTATTGCGCAAAAACACCAAAAATCATTAAGTTTTGAAAATCGCTATTTTTCAGACTGTAATTAAATAGCTACTACGTGTGACCTATTGTTTTTTATTAAGGTTAGGTGTTGCTACTTATGTAACAATAACATAACATTTTATCCTAGAATTCGCATTTCACTGCAAAATCGTTATTATAATACAATTTGTCCTACATTAGTTCTTAATAAAATAGATGATATCGTATAAAAGTAGTTTAGTTTTTAACAGTATAAGGCAAATATTATGGTGAATTGCTTAGAAAAGTTTTGTTTATAATTGATTGATGATGCAGAGGATGCTGCGCCAGCCGCTGACCAGGGCGCTTGCGCTGAGCTCTCCATCCCGCGCCGCACCGCTGGCCGCACGGCGCTATGCCGAGGTAGTGCCACAGCCTGATAAAGTAGAGGTGTTCATTGATGACAAGCCCGTGTATGTACCGCCTGGCACTACAGTATTGCAGGTAATTTTTTAAAAAACAAACTTAGTCTTAACTAAACCATTAAAAGTTATAAAAACTGTACTGTTTATATTCTATGTCTATTTAATGCGTGAGGAAAATTAAAAACTACCGTGTTGTTTTTTGTTATATATGTATGTAGAAATTATGTGAAAATTATATTTATTGTAACAATATATTTTGTATACAATTGTGATAAAACATTCAACTTATCAAGATTCAAATGTTTTCATTAGGCTGCAGCCGAAGTTGGTGTTGAAATACCAAGGTTCTGTTACCATGAGAGGCTAGCTGTTGCTGGTAACTGCAGGATGTGCCTTGTGGAGGTTGAGAAATCACCAAAGCCAGTGGCAGCATGCGCTATGCCAGTTATGAAGGGAATGAGGGTGAAGACTAACTCAGATCTGACAAGAAAAGCAAGAGAAGGTGTGATGGAATTTTTGTTGGTTAATCATCCTTTAGATTGTCCGATCTGTGATCAAGGTGGAGAATGTGACTTACAAGATCAATCTATGGCGTTTGGATCTGATAAGAGCCGGTTTACTGATATACATTTCTCTGGAAAGCGGTAAGTACTTTTTCGTTTATTTTATATTCAATTGAAGTAAAATATTCTTAAACAATAGTGAAAGTGTTTGTGGCTTTAAGAATAAAATGTAATAGACTCAAAGTGAAGTAAAATATTTTTAATTTCTTTAGAGTAATGTCACTATTTAATAAGTTTTTATACTATTAAACTGTTTTATGATATAAAGAAAGTTAATATTATGTAAACAGTACTCAAATAATTAATATGAAATGATAAGTCATTAGCTACATCCTTCTTCAGCCTGTTTTTTGCACCTTCCTGATTTTATATAACTTAATTATAACAGGGCTGTAGAAGACAAAGATGTTGGTCCTCTGATCAAGACCATAATGACACGTTGCATCCACTGCACGCGGTGCATTCGTTTCGCCTCTGAAGTGGCGGGTGTTGATGATCTGGGCACTACTGGTAGAGGTACAGATATGCAGGTCAGTGTTCCTAGACAAGATACTAGAGAAAAAAAAAACTAATCAGAATGAACTAAACAAATTATGTTCTCTTAGTGTAATCTTCAATATATCATTGCGTAGGTAATTTTAATAAATTTTGTGGTTCTTTTTAATTAAATATTATTTTGAATGTTATATTAAGGAGACAGTTCTAAAATTTCAAATCTAAACAGGCTAATGTTGTTTATACAATATTGTATGTATGATGTGTTTTATTTTAGGTTGGAACATATGTGGAGAAAATGTTTCTATCTGAGTTATCAGGTAATATAATTGACTTATGCCCCGTCGGTGCTCTTACATCGAAGCCATACAGCTTCGTCGCTCGACCCTGGGAAACAAGGAGGGTAAGTGTGAAACTGACAATAAAAAAAAAATCAATATGATTCAATAAACATAGTTTTAGACATAGAATCCTTTGGCGCGAATGACGTGCTTTCGTTACAAAGTCCAGTGACAGAATAATTAGTGAGGGGACATAAACATCGACATTTTAGTAAGGCTAGTGTTGTGCCAGTACACTGGCTCATTGTCGGATTTTCTTTCTAACAATAGTGTGAGTGATTAATTTTTTTTCTTTTACAGATTGATTCGGTCGATGTTTTAGACCCACTGGGAAGTAACATCGTAGTCACAACGAGGACAAACGAAGTTTTACGTATTCTCCCTAGAACTAATGAGGTTCGTTATTTTTCGTCTATGAATTGTTTTTTTATTTTTAATATTATGCATATTTTTAATCATACTGCTAAATATTTTTTATCTTGTCTGGATTTCTTAAAGTAAAAAATATATTTTATCGTCATAGGAAATCAATGAAGAGTGGTTGTCAGACAAGTCTCGTTTCGCGTGTGACGGACTGAAGCGTCAGAGACTGGTCACACCGCTGATGACTGACAGTCGCGGCAACCTCACACCAGTCGAATGGGAGGACGCCATTGTTGCTGCCGCAAGAGCTCTGCGTGACTGCCCGCCTGATAAGGTACCAAAGACTAGGAAAATTATACATTTTATATAATTCAGAGCTATCAAAATGTCTTTGTAGAAATAATAGTCATCTCTCATGACTTCGTGTGTGTGTTTTTTTATAATTGAATTGCGTGTTCTATGATTTTGACAATACTAATGTGTGGGTGTTGCCACCTTTGTGTATTTTTTATATTATTTAATTCATTATTTTTTATTTTATTTGTCTTAAAAAACGTTTAATTGAAGATTTAAAAATTTATAGATTAAAACCATCTATGGATTCTGCATTGATTGTTTATGGTATTATACTGATTAATACATTCAGTAGTTTACAAAAGTGTTAACAAATAAATGATTATTTTCGTATGTAGCTTTTAGCGGTGGCCGGTGACATGGCGGATGCGGAGTCGCTGGTGGCACTCAAGGACCTGGTCAACCGACTGGGGTCAGAGCTGGTCTGCACCGAGCAATTCTTCCCGTTGGAGGGCTCCGGCATCGATCTACGTTCTACCTATCTCTTGAACACCGGCATTGCTAGTAGGTATTCCTAGAATTACGTACTTAAACAGTTTGATATTATTTAGTTACTTGTTAAAAAAATATCAGTGTTTTTTTTGTTATTTTTTTTTTGTTGTGAATTTTTTTGTTTTTTAATTATATTGGCGACATGTGAAAAAAAGAAAGCAGATTGTGTTTGTTATATACAATGTTTTCACTTTTAAAATACATAAATAAATAGAAATTTATTTTTTCTCTTTTTTTTACAGTAAATGAGAGATATAATTACATTAATGTTTTGTTCCGGTGTTTCGTCAGTATATATCCAATATTGTTGTTTAAAATTATAATTTATATAGACGTGGAGGAAGCCGACTTTGTGCTTCTGATCGGTACCAACGTGCGCTTCGAGGCCCCCCTCCTCAACACTCGCATCCGCAAGGCCTTCATGCACAAGGAGACTGACGTCGCACTCATTGGACCTCAAGTTGATCTTACCTACGACTACATGGTAAATTATGTCATTTGACTACCATCCATACATCTATACAATTATACAAATATATAAAATTGGAGTATCTATATGTAATATCGAGAAAAAAAGTTAACGTTTCGTACATATGTTGTATATGCGTTGTTGATAGCGAATTTTTTTTATCTGTCCATCTGCATGTCATTTGGCAAGTGCGCGTTTGTACCGGGTACGCCTGAACTGATTTATGTTACCTTTTTTTTAATTCTGCGATGACGAAGTTCAGTGCGACAACTAGTAGTAAATATTTAGGGAAGCAAATCAATGACAATATTCTATTTCCTAAGAGTTGATTGACTTTTTTATTTCCATGTTCTTATTATTGCATTTTTATATATTTTCTAGTACGTGGGTGACTCAGCATCTATTGTAAAAGACTTAGCATCTGGCACTAGTTCTCACGAGGTGGTCCGCAAGTTGGAGCAGGCCAAACGTCCCGTGGTGATCCTCGGAGCTGACCAGCTGAAGACAGCAGAGGGCGCCGCGTTGCTCGCGTACACGCAGGAACTGGCCCTACGTCTGCAGGATAAACTGCAGGATAAGGAATGGAAGGTATTATTTTTGGTATTTACTATATTGCTGCACAAATTTTAATACAAAGTAGTATCTTACTACTATTATAAATGCGAATGTTTATATGGATAGATAGATGGATGAATGAATGGATGGATGGATACATATAGAACATTGTCTGGAAGAACCTTTTTAATTCGGGGCGCACGGAGTCGCGGGCGATTACTAGTTATTAATAACGTTTGTGTTCATGTCAGGTGCTGAATGTGCTGCAGCGTACAGCCTCGCAAGTGGCTGCGCTCGACATCGGCTACAAGCCTGGTGTAGGTGCTCATCTCTCTAACGCCAAGGTCGTGTACTTACTGGGGGCTGACAGCGGTGTTGTCACCCGCGATGCCTTGCCTAAAGATGCTGTTGTTATCTATCAAGGTTTGTCACACACTATCAAACAAGACATGTCACTGTCACTTACACCTTTTTTCCACTAAGCATCTAGCCGCGGGAAATGATTACCGTTTGCTAAAGTCAACCAAAAGTGTAATGTCAAAAAAGTTTCACAAGATTTATAACTGTATTATTTTCTATGATTTAGTAGGTTTCCATATTTTCTGACAAAAATAACCTTACTCTCACTTAACAACTCTTCTTAAGTGTCAAGTTAAGTTTGTCGTTATATCTTACTTATAAATAGCAGTCGTACTAATGGAAAGTGGGTTTAAGGCTAATATGTGTGTGTCAGGTCACCATGGCGACGTGGGCGCAAGTATCGCGGACGTGGTGCTGCCGGGCGCGGCGTACACAGAGAAGCGCGCTACATACGTGAACGCGGAGGGACGCGCGCAGCAGACTCTGCCCGCTGTCACCGCACCTGGTAAAGCACGCGAGGATTGGAAGATCATCAGGTATTTTTACTTTAATAGCGGGGCGTAAAATTGTACGAGACAGGACAAGTCGCCAAAAAGATTGCATCACTTTGTAACACAATTCTGATATATTTCAAATAAGAATCTGGACCAACGCCATATTGAAAGTGTTTTTTTTAATCAGGGCACTTTCGGAAGTAGTCGGTGAGCGTCTGCCGTATGACAACTTGGACGAGGTGCGTGACCGTCTGAGCCAGGTCAGCCCGGCGCTGGTGGCATACGGTGACCTGCAGAATAACAACTACTTCGCACAGGCGAGGGCACTCGCACAGGTAACAATATATTAAAAAAACAATATTGCATTGAACTTTAATCAAAGTCCTTAAAATCATGATTCTTATGATTGTATCCGGTTTTAATAAGTTTCCCAAATGGTTCCGAAACGTAACGCTGCCAAAATTGCTTGATTAGAAAAGAAAAAAAAGTTTATGTAAAGATTGTCTAAAATAATAATATTAGCAGTTGACGCCTTCTGTACAGTTCTGGAGATACCTTCTAACATCTATTCATTCGCATTTATTTAGTAAAAAGTAAATTTAAATCCTGTTTTATTTCAGAGCGTGCAAAAGCCGGTGTCTGGGAAGCTGGACGTCCAACTGAAGTCTTTGGAGGACTACTTCATGACGGACGCCATCAGCCGCGCCTCGCCCACCATGGCCAAGTGCGTGCAGGCCGTACTCAAACAGAAACAAGCCACTTATTAATATTCAGACAAATTACACACACTATACACTATACAATTAGATCACAATATAACCTAAAAAAATAGTATTAACAAAAAAATGACATTTAACAAACATGTAGAGGTTTACACAAAGAAGGTAGAATGAAATTAAATTTTTATGTTAAATGTTTATTTAAATATCTTTGTTATCGTGAAATATTTAAATGTAATTAAAGTAGAAAATCGTCAAGAGAATTCCGTACGTATACGTAACTGCGTACGCGCACGTAATAATACGACGCCATATTGCTGCGAAACATTTTTCAATTTTCCTTAAATATCTTTATATTTTGAAATTACCGTTATCATTGTGTATTAGTGTGTTAGAAATAAAAAAAAATTGGCTAATTTTATCTGAGCGTTAAATATAGATTGATATTTTAACGTTTAGATAAAAGAAGTCATTTTTCTAGTATAGTTTAAAAAAATGCCTTTCTGCAATCATTTTTACGGTGAAAATACTTCAGAAATGCACCCCGTGCAGTTGACGGACCATTCCTTGGCTAATAATTTAGCGAATTTATAAATCTGTCGACTGCATATGTATTATGGTTTGAATTTATTTATTTTGTACTTTTTTAGATTAAGTAAATCAGTGTTACCTGCAATAAAATCATTTTTGCAATTGAAATTAATAGCAACATTTATTGTTTTGTAGAACGAACGAAATGATTAAGAAAAAATGATGGTTAAACTTTTCTGTGGACAGATGTTTTGTAAATAAATGATTAGAATAAAATAAAATGTATAATGATTGTAGAATTTGTATTTTTTTATTTTTTATAACCAAATAAATCAACACAAATAAAAAGGCTATAAATAATTCGTAATAGGTAAGTTGTTGGTATTCAAGCCATTGATTTTTATATATTCCTGGAAATAAAAATAAAAATATTAATTTATGGTTTGGATTACAACTGGCCATAAGCATATTGAGGTAAACGAAACTTTTAAAAAATTGGAAGAAAGAAGAAGAATTTTTGTACCGTAACGGATTTATTGAAAAAATAACCTAACTGAAATAAGAGGAAAATTATGATTATTACATAGCAGTTACTATAGATATAGATAATCTACATGAGAATCTATAAAATAAAAATGCATATTATAATGTCGCTTACTGGAAAAAAGTCTTACGTCAACAACTTTTCGCGCCATTGTCTTATATCGGCACTCTCCTAATATTTTATTAGCTTCTTGTGCGAATTGTTCGTGCGTTGCTTTCGTTCCACTCCAAGGAAATGGTTCTTTCTCACGCCGTTTTAATTCATCTTCTAAAGATTTACGGGGCACCGAAAATTGAAGAGACTCTTCTACAAAAAATGATAATACTTTAAAATATATAGCACGTGTTTATGAGTAGAAAATTGCGAAAATGATACATACCTTTCTTGTAAACAGCATTATTGCAGTTCTTTTTAGAAGGTTTGCAAACTAAGGTTTGTCTATCACAGTGACAAAGTCTAGAAATATTTTTTGTGTCTTGTCTGTGATTTGTTTCCATCTGTGTTTCAGACACTTTCGTTGATTTATTAGAACAAGGCTTTTTATTCTCAATATTTTGTTTTTGAATTACTTTATGTTTACTGTCTTTATTTACTCTGGTATAATAAAATTTATTATTCATCAATATTGTGTTAATCGATTTAATATCTACAGTACACTCCTACTAAAATATCGGATAAACTGTACTTACTGTTGTGCCAAACGTTTTATTCCTTTATCAACGAAGTCATTGTATTTGTTTTCCTCTATTTCCTTTAGCCGTTCAAGGGTTTGAAATAGGTGCAACTTTTTAGAGGAATCTTTCTTTTTTATCTGAAAATTGTGTAAAAGTTGAATTATAACTTTGAACTTTCTTGGTTTCTACTATAATAACATGCGTAAGAAACGAGATTCTTACCACGACTAAGCTGTTTGTGCTCCCAATATTTCGGCACATGCATGCGCCATGATCATGAGTAGGTGTGCGGTAATGCGTAAAATTTTAAAGCTGTATCGGTCTACCCTCTGTCTGACTTGGCGATCTATGTTTTTCACACTGTTGTGATCATGGCGCATGCAAGTGTGCCGAAATATCGGGAGCTCAAACAGCTTAATCCTGGTAAGAATTCTGTTTTTTACGATTGTTATTATAAATAAAATTAATTTAATGTTTTGTACTTAACATCTTATTTCAGAAAATATTTAGTATTTTTTAAAACATTAGACCTAGAGATATTTATTTTAATGTTTATTTAATTTTTGTCTCCATTCTAATTTCAATATTGATTCCATAAACTGATCAGGAATATAAAAAACGTCACCATATTGCGAAAACATGTGGAACTAATGTAATAAAGTGATTGAAGCGCCGCTAAGCTAGGTTTTTATATTCTTGGTAAGGCTATACGTAATTTTGTAATTGTCTATTGCTATTAAATTGTAGCATTTGCTTACTTCTTCATGGACAGTGTTTTTCTTACAGCGTACCCTATCGTAGTATTCACGCCACACTTGATTTAAGCGATCATTATTTTCTTGTTCTTTCTTCCGATTTTCTTCTAATTTCTTTTTATATTCAATATGTTTAATATTATCCAGACGTAGTTGTTTATTAGCATCCTTTAAAACCGTGTATTATAAAATTATTGCAACTATTCGAGGGTTTTTTTAGAACAACTGAGATTAAATTTTTTACCTGCGCTTCGGTAAGCGATACTCACAGTAAATGTCTTTACACTAATGAGCAAATATGAATTAGATCATTATTTAATTTTCAAATAATAACTTACAATTTTGTCTTGAATCCGACATTTTGTTTCATTCTCTAGAAGATTTTTAATTATCTTCATATCTTCCAATTCTGTCTGTTTTTGTAATTGTTTATCGCGAATTACTTTCGTATTTTGTGCTTCGTATCTAGAAACATTTTTAATAAAAATAACTTATCATAATCGAAGATTTAATCAATATTAAGTATTTTTTTTTGCTTACATTGCTTTGTTTATTTCTGCTATTTCTCGAGCTTTCATTTGTTTTTGTCGCAATTTTTCCATTTTTTTATTTTCTATTTCACGATTACGTTGTTTTTCTTTTAAAATTATTTCTTTTTCATCTAAAAGAGCTCTTTCTTTTAAATTCTTCTGGAATTTAAGTTGAGCCTCTCTTTCTTCTATAGTTTTCGAATGTATGAGACAACTAGAAAGAATTTTGTTGTAAACTACGAATAACAGACATCTTTTTTGTAGTTATTGTAAAAAAAGTATGCTAAAACTTCAGATCAACTAACCTTATTAGTCGCCTTCCATAGCAACTATCTTCGAATATCACCTGTCTTGCCTTTTGTATAGCTTCAAGGGAGCAATCTTTCTTCTTTTGCAATGCAAATTTTTCTATTTCTTCGATGTCCTTCTTGCGCTTCCTAGCGTCTATCTTTTTTAGCAGCTCAATATGACCCTGTATGCAGTAGGTTATATAAAATATCATTCAAGTGTTAATCAGCGATTTGATTTTTTGTAATTTACGTCTTACTTGCTTCTTAACCTATATTCATTATACTACTTAATAAATTGTCAGATTTTCATCACCAAAATTTTAGAAATTTGAAGCGTAAACTTTCTAATAATTACATTGCAAATTCATCGGTAACTTAACCTTAAAATTATTTCTATTTATTTCTTACTTTTGTAGTATCCGGCCATGATTTTATCCATTCCTGTGACAGTTCTTGCATCCGCTGGATATCTCCATTGTCGATTGTGGGTACTTCACAATTGCGCTGTCTTTTTATTCTATCCCATTCATCTTTGTGAAGGATAAGATATTTTTGTGAACCCATTAAAAATAAAATACTTACTAAATTATTATTAAAATGACATTTATTGACAAACTGTATGGTCATGCAGAAAAAGATATGAACTTTTGAACAAAGAACTGTTTATCCGTTGATTGAACTGTTGTAATGTTTTAACAGTGGTAAAGCCCGCTCAAACATCTTTGCACGAATTAGCCCGGCTCGCCCGGTGAAATACCACGACCACACAGAAGACGTTTCGTCTGATGAGTGTGCGTCCCGGAGGCCTAATTTAGTCCCCTTTCCCTTCCCACCCTTTTTATTATACGGAAAGGATGGGTTAGTGGTAGTGGACTTTCCGGATGAGAGGATGCATGGCAAGAAAATATTTTCTTTCTGTGCATCCTCTCCTACGTCGATTAATGGTAGGCAACGCATGTGCAATTGCGTATGTCTATGGGCAACGGTCACTTCGCTATTTCAGCGATTTCAGGTGATCGCTCGCTCGGTTGCCACCTTATGATATAAAAAAATCCAGACAAACCCTCTAATCCTTACTGATATAATATATTATATATCCTTACTTATTATATAAGGTAACTATGTCTGTCTGTCGGTCTGTCTGTCCATCTTTCAGGCAAAAATTACTGAATCGATTTAAATGAAATTTGAAACACAGATAGTCTAGAGCCCGAGAAAGGACAAAAGCAATTTAAAAGGACTTTATGTAATACAAGATTTAAACAATTTTAAGCTTGCATTTGTAACGGGTAACGGCTGAACACTTCATTGGCGTCAGTTTTGGTGCGACATAGGAAATGAAGCGAGCGTACGGACGCGGGCCGTTTCACTTCGCCCCTCTGCAATTTATCATTGTCGGATGAATGCTGTTTGCTCATGATTTTTGCACAAAAATAACCCCTTGGATATCGTATATCGTTTTCAGTGAAATATCAATATGGATGATACGAATAACACTAAAAATTCTTTATCCATATTTCACTGTTTTCATATTTATAGACAAAGGAAAATATGGAGAACTGATCGCCAACCTTCGCTAGTCGGAGAGGCACCTCAAGAAGAAGAAGAAGATATTTATAGAATCTGGTTTATGATAAGGATTACTTGCTATAAGAAAGCATTGCCACAAAAAGGTATCGAAAATGTTTTCCTTTTTTTTTAGTTTAATTATATGATATTAAAAGGTATAAAGTAAAAGAATATATGATTTATGGGAAGTGCCGTAAGTAGGCAGGTAGCGGAGTTTAGAACGCAGGTGGCGCTAACAAGATTGTGGCTTTCGAATGCTCGTAAATTTCGGCGGTAAACAACAAAATATATCTTATTACTTACAATATTGTAGCTGATAATTTTATATAATATTAGACTATTACGTTAAAATAGGAACCGTATAAGACCATGTTTAAGTTTTGACTAGAAAATAGTATAGCTAACCTTCGTTCGATTTCGAACATAACAGGCCCACTATAAAGTAATTACCAATTGATGTCTAGCTTTTATATCAAAGGCACGAGAGCTTGTTTCATCTTTCCATACTTTTGTAACGTGTATTGGAAGCCTAATCAACTTGCATACAGTTTCCTGTGTTTTTCCGTTTGACGCGGCTCCGAGCCATGTAAATTTATTCATGAAACTGTTTTCTATGCATTGCCGTGAATCCCTGCAACGAAACAAGGCTAACAAAATAACTGACAACTAATATTAGTTACATTATAATGTTATTTATAACTGTACGTGTAATTGGAATAACAATGGATATACGATTTTTTTTTATCATAAAATTTGAAAACAATTTATTGATAGGCATTATTTTTTTGCTTTTCTTCCTTCAAAAGGTCGCAACTTATATCTCTCTTTATTTTATCTGCCCTCATATCAGAATGGAAATATTTTTTAATGTAAGATTAGATCAAAATTTCGATTAATTTGTCTGGGAATGACATGAACAGTTTGTATTAAAAGGACTAATTCGTACAGACAAGACACATCGCTAGGCACTTGAGAGACAGTACAAGTGCTTGTCCCACGCGTCGCCACTCGAGCTTTTAGCTACCTGATAACCGCTAACAAGGACTTCAAGTCTTCAAGTTGAAGAAAACCATAGTATTTAATGTTTTTATTAAATTTGTAAAACAATATTTGTGTCGATGCTTGCTAAATATATACTATCGGTCTCTCTGTAATTGTGAAAATACTTGATTAATAGATTCGTAAATATTGTTAGACTAGCTGTAGCCCACGATTCCGTCCGCGCGGAGTTATTAATAAACTTAATAAGTAGCCTATGTGATCTTCCAGGCTATGTTCTACATCTACGCTAAATTTCAGCGAGATCTGTTTAGCCATTCCGGAGATACCTTCAAATAAACATCCGTCCATCCATCTAAACCAGTGGTTCCCAAGCTTATTTTATCTACTGCCCACTATGAGAATAAATATTTTTTAGCGCCCCCACATTAGAGTTTAAGCAATCTTTTAATTCATATTAGTTGATGTTCACAAGTTGTTGTTCAGAGTTGAGAGCTCATGCAGTCGTTGTCTAGGAGGCCTCCTAGCTAAATAAAATTACAAATCACCCCCCAGGCCTCTACACAACGCCCCCATTTTCTTTCTGGGTCTCTTACCGCCCATTGAGACCTGCAGCGCCCACAAGGGGGCGTTATCGCCCACTTTGGGAAAGAATGATCTAAACATTCACATTTATAATATTAGTAAGATTTTAATGATAAGATGTTTGGATTACAATGCGTATATAGTTTACTTTGAGAGGTGAATTAAATCCTTGGTGTGTAATAAAAAATATACAATTTCAAAGTAAATGCTTCTGTAGAACCTTAGAAATATTTTATTACAGTTGTTTATATATACAGGTGAAAGTTATGACTGAAACATCGTAACATTGTGAAGATACGAATGGGAACTAAAGTTTTATTTATCGTTTTTATTTGCCAGTAAAATATAACCTTTATTTTATCTATATTGTAATTGATGAATAGAGTCTAATCGTATGATATAAAAATTGCAATTTAAAATTCCTTTATGTTAAAATAATTTTAGCTTGAATTTTATTATGAACGTGATAGTTTAGATAATATAATCAAATAAATCAATCAAATGCACGCTAGTTCGTTAGTCGCTTTGTTAGTATACAACAGTTGGAGCCAATATTGACCCGCAAACAAACGACAAAGTCGTCAAACTGCGCACTATATGTGTACCTATCTAAAATATTATGTAATAACGCAAGTTTTAAATAGATATAGAAAAATAAATTTAGTCTTATAAAAAGTAACCTGTGTGCAATACATATAGGCTGGGAGAAAAAAAAACGACGTCGCTAAATGACGTTAAACCTTCTTTGTTAAGCGTGAGTTTCTACTGCTTTATTAAAAACATATTTTATCCCTTTCGTTCTCTTTGAAAAGGACAGAGATGTAATAAATTACACAACTATAGCAGCAGTAGAAAACTTTTTTTTTAAATATTTTTCAAATATTCCATGTTATTTTTCTTAACACATACGTAAGTTATTTTAAACATTTCTTCATAAAACAAACTTTTCAAAATATATTTCATTCGTATCGTATATAATGGAGATAAATAACTTATATAAATGTAAGCTATTCATCTCCATTGCATATTTACTTTTTATTTGTTGTGTAATGAAGAGTTACGAAGCGCACAATTGGCGCCTCCGCCTGAAAGCTTACTACTTCAAAAACTATAAATTTCACTTTGTGCACGAAAAGTTACTATTTTATTACCAATGTACGATTTACAAACTGTTTTATTAATTTTAATGAAATACTCAGTTAAATTAAAAGCAAAGAAATAACTGAAAGGCTATGTTACAATAATGTGGCTAAATTCAAGAAATAAATGTTATGTTATTAAAACTTAAAACTATAATATAATTTGTATACAGTTGTAAATAAGAATCGGATGACGCGATATCTTGACGATTTTTACATTTAATTTTAATTAATTTTTCTTTATTGATTTGAACATAACTTAAAGTACAGATATAAGAACGTCAAAACAATTGAATGACGGATTAATATTCTTTATATCACAAGAAACAAAAAAAATACTGGCTGAATAATTCTAATTAATAAGATAATTCTGAAGCTCTGAAAACAATATTTTAAAAAGTTGACATAGCGCCCGCACAAGACGAACAAATTGACCGTCCAGTAACAATATTTTACTCGGT